TTTAGTGTCTTACCTTGCCTGGTGGCTTCCCTCTGTTGGGCCTCATGGAGTTGTGACCTTCATTGTTTTTTTCTAGGATGTTGCTTAGAATTGTTTGGAGTGCTGGTTTGGTGTTCATGAAATTTCTTAGGTGTTCTTTGTTGTGTAAGTATCTAATTTCCCCATTGATTTTGAAAGATAATTTTGCAGGATACTCCAGTCTAGGTTAAGTTATAAGTAAGTAAGTGAGGGGCATGCCCACCAGCCGCCCGCTCAGCTGCATGGGCTGAGTGGTCCCGGGCTGACAGAGCCCTGCCCAGTCCAGCTTGTTATGCCCACTTGCATCCAGGAGACTGTGAGGACCCCCCGGGCATGCCCACCAGTCGCCAGCTTAGCTGCCTGGGCACCTGCCACAACATGCTCCACACCCCATCCCGCCTCTGGCCTCTTGGCTGTACAGCTACCTGGTTCCACACTACAGAGGCGCAGAGGGACATAAAGGCCATTGTTCTGAGCTGCAGAAGTGAACAACAGAGAGATAGCCTCACTCAGGCTTCACTGGAAAACAAGCCCACTGGAAAAGTGAAGAGAATCTCTGCAATAAAGGCACAACAGACCACCATACTTGGTAAGTTGGAGGGATCATCACCTCCCATTTGAACCTGGACTATCTTCAGGAGAAAGGCAGCTGGAACCTGCAATAGAAACTTGCAGAGTTCAACCCTGCAGGAGGACAGGGAGCTCAACTTGGGACTTGCAACCAGAAATCTGCCTGAATCTCACGGGTCTATGACTGGCTTACTGAGACTCATTGACTTATAACTGCACACTGCTGCCCACGTTGTCTAGTGTGACAGCAGAGACATACCTTGAAGGAGGCCCTTCATTTTTCTTTTATTTGTTATTTTCAAAATTACCACTATTTTTTTGCTCTTATTTTAAATTTTTTTCTTCTTTTTCTACTCTTTTAAAATTTTTCTTTTTCTCTTTTTTCTTTTTCTCTTTTCTTTCTCTCTCTCTCTCCTTTGCTCCCTCGCTGTCCTACATTGTTCTTCATTTCCCTTTGTGTTTCTGCTCTCACCCTAATTCATACTTCTTTATTTTTCTGTTCTTCTCTTTCATTCTCTCGCCTGTGCCCTCTGGCCTTACTGCTAACCTTCTCCTATCCCTCTACTTACCTATTCCTCCATCCCCAACTCCTTCTAACTCCCCATCCCTAAGGGTAAAGTTGCTATATTGAAGAGTTTATTCACTATAAACATATGTTGGGTTGGTCCTTGATCTTGATTTAATTCACATAGTTAAAGGTGATAGGTTAATAACTACCACAAATTGTCATTTTCTAAGAGGTACTTGATGCTATTGTGTTGATTGTATCACTTGGGCTAAGGTGTTGTGATTGATCTAATCAGCTGTCCTTCCTGGTATAATGAAAATGAGATAGCCTCAGAGCCATTAGAGAATCAAAACCTAAAGACCAGCTATACCTGGAAGACACCTGTGAGAAGCAACCATTCCATAAGTGTTCTAAATACATCAACAAAGATACTTACAAGCAACTTCAAAGTATCAACCCAGGAACTAAACCAAGGACAGTACCAAAAACAAAAATGAGAGGACATTTCAGCAAGGCACAAACTCAGACTTCCACCCCACAAAAGGCAAATTCTGGGGGAAATGAGGTGGAAAAGTCTGATAATCAACCACCTGAACACCCTGAACTGATAGCACAAGAAGTAACAAAACAGATGAATGAGGCTCTAGAAAAATTCAAAGCAGAAATAATCTCCCAGATAACTACAGAGATGGTGAGCAGAGTGAAAGACATGATTAGAGGCTCTAGAATAGAAACAGATAAGAAAATAGATGAGATCAGAAACATGCTGGAAGTCATGAATGCCCAGCGTAAGAAAGAAATGGAATCCATGAAACAGATTCAAACAGATATTCAGGAGATTAAAAACTCCATTGAAAGCACGCATAGCAGATTAAGGGAATCTGAAGATAGAATATCAGATATAGGAGAAAGGATTGTGGTTAAGGACCATGAAAACAGAGATTTCTTAAAAATAGTAAGGGACCATGAGAAATCAATCCAGCAGCTGCTAGATGATGCAAAGAAGAATAACATAAGACTGATAGGAGTCCACGAAAAAACAGGAGAAAGTACAATTGACATAAAAAAACTGTTCACAGAAGTAATAGTAGAAAACTTCCCAGACAGAGGTGGAGAATTGGACATACAGGTAAGTGAGGCATATAGAACTCCAACTAGCCGTGATCAAAAAAACTATACCTAGACATATAATAGTCAAGATCTCAGAAACCCAACGGAAGAACAAAATCCTACAGGCAGTTAAAGAAAAGAAACAAATCACCTATAAAGGAAAGCCCATCAGAATCACGGCAGATTTCTCAACATAAACCCTCAAATCAAGGAGAGCCTGGAGTGAAGTATTTCAAGCCCTAAAGGAATAAATATTTTAAATAATTGGGCTTCGTTAGCTCTTCATTTTGGGTTCTTCTTCCTCCCATCCCCAAATGTGGGTCCCTTTTTTTTTTCAGAGAAGGAATTACTATAAAAAAAATCAAAGCCCAAAGAAAGTCTGTTTTTATCACAGATTTATGCTGGATGCTTGGCTATGACCATCAGGAGCTGTAGCATGAACTCAGCCTCGTTCTATGCTTGGAAGGAGCATAAACGTGTGAGAACACTCCTTGGCCCCAGCCCCCAGGCCAAGCATCTCCCAGCTTCCTGCACACCAAGTAGAGATGAACATAAAGAGTCACAGAAGAAATTTTAAAACATAGCCTGTGGCGAGATAGGAAGAAGAGGACAGGAGCCTGTGAGATCTATTTTGAGAATGATTCCTAGCTCCTGATGTACTGGCAAAGGCATAAACACTCAGATCTGCAAAGGATACCAAGAGCTGCTTCAAGATTCCAGTGAGAATCTGTATATGCAAATACAAGTATGAGAATTCAATATGTGTTTTGATGCAAGAAGCCACTGTATTTGTTCTCGTTAAAAGAAGTGGAAACTAGAGCGACTATGTTTTTTTTTTCCTCCATAGCATGTCTTAAAGTATTCAATTCCTTTCTTGAAACATGTCAAAGGCTCCTTTATGAAAGCACATGATAGAAACTAGAAATTCACAAAAAGTAAATAAGCTTTGGACCCAGTTTACAGCCCGAGCACCTGCAGCTCCCAGACCCGGTCTCAGACCAGGCTACGCACAGTATCCCCATGACTCACAGGTGGGCCAGGCCGGCCTTGCGCACAGCTGAGGAGATGGCTTTGATGGCTGTCAGCATGGAGTTCAGCAGCTGGGTTAGCTCCCCGGTCCCTTTGGCCTGGCGCCCCTTTTCCATTACATAGCGGGTCAGGGTGAGCATGTCCGTTTCAAAGGGGCTTCTGTCTGTCATTGTGGCAGTAATGCTCAAATCCGTCTTTTCTCCTAGCAGGAATCCTTGCTTATCTGGCTCCGCAGGGTGCAAGCTGATATAAAAAAAACCTGTGCAGGCAGTGCCAGGACCTTTAAGGAAAAGGGCCCCTGTCCATGTGACTGAAATAACTGGACAAGTCCTCAAGGAAACCACTCTGGCCTGCTGATTGTGACAGCTGCCAAAGGTCCATGAACAGGCTGCAAATAGAACTGGGCTGCCTGGAAACAGACATGCTTTCTCTCCCTGGGCAAATGCAGCCATTTAGTAAAGAATCAGCTCATAGAAGATGATCTGTAAGACCCCCTTATTCAAGGATCCAAAAGGATTCTTCACACATGTCTACTGCAGAACCCGACTCTCCATGGTTATATGTGACAGGTTGGCAGATATCTTATCTGGGGCATAGGTCACATAATAAAATAGTGGTAATCCCAGAGTCTCTATAGCCAAGCTGCTTCCAAATAAGTTTATTTCCAGAAGTGTGTGTGATTGGATGGATATTCATAGCACATATCCAAATCTGGAAGAACAAAATTATATTCCTAGAATAGTTTCTAGCACCAGTGTTATTTTGTCAACTTCTCTGGATTTGCATTTTAAAACAAAAATACTTGCTTATTAAAATCAAATCCTGAGTACATGTCAAAAACAAAAGCAAGTCCTCACTGTCAGCCTACTTCCTAGAATAGTTGCTGTGAGAGCTGGTGAGGTTGTAGGTAGTAGCCAGGCATTGGGTGGTCTGCATGTGGTGCCTGAAGCATTTCTCTAAGGGCAGACAGAGCTGGTTCTGAGTCCCAAGATAGATAATTTGGCAAAGTTACTATAACCCTTGCAGGCTGTTTCCTTGCTCATAAATGCAAATAACAATAAAACATCCACCTTATAGAGCAATTGTGAGGATTAAAATGATGACATGTGCCTGGTACAAAGTGAATGCTTAATACTTTGCTAGGAATCTTTTTCAGTTTTTCATGTACCTATAATGAATATGTGTACATAGGTAATTAAGAATTTGAATATTGCTCTTCAACTTGATATTCCACTCCCTTTGACACTTATTTCAATTAGAATGTGCTTAGCTGTAATAAAAAATTCAGTGCAGGTTATAAATGCAGGTGTTTATTTTCTTATAGACCATGAGTTTGTTAGGCTGTGGCTATGGCATTCTTTCAGCTCTTCAGAGATCCCATCAGAGACCCCTCTCTGGTATCCTGGGTCTGCTGGCTTTTGCTCCCCTTCTTGTCATTCTGTGGGCACAAAGTGCTCTGAAATTTTTGAGATGTGGGTCAGGAAGTGACTACAGGATGCAGAAGGGGGCCTGTTGACTTGTTTACAGGTTTCCTCTTCCAACTTACATCGCCATCTGAGCAAGATGGTTTCCTAGGTGATCATGCAAAGCAATGTCCCTCAAAGGGAGCTGTCACACCCACCCTAGAGAAACTAGTGTATTCCCACAAAAATCCAGTCATGGATATTTATTTACATCAGCTCTATTTATAAAGTCAGAAACTGCAAACAATTAATTGTTCCTCAGCAGTGAATAGGCAACAAATTGTTAAATATATAGAATGGATATTTTTCAGCAATGCAAAGGAACAAGCTAGTACTACATGAATTTTGTGGAGTGAAAGAAGCCAGTCTCCAAAGATGATCTATTATAGGATTCCATGTATATGATATTTTCAAAAAGATCAACTCACAGTGACAGAGAACAATTTCGTGGTTGGCAAAGGGTGAGGGCGTGGAGATGGATAGGCAGGAGAGATTTCTACAGAACATGAACTGTTCTGTATCCTGATTATTGATGTGGTTACTTAAATCTATATATTTTATTAAAATTCATAGAACTGTACATTTTTTTAAAAGTTACTTTTATGGTAAAACAAAATACAAAGTAGATCATAAGCAGTCTATATATCATATTGGTCTCCTAGGAGTTAAGTAGAAAAATCAAAATTTCTACAGCAATTTTCCTCTTACATTTGTTCTGATTATATTTATTAAAATATAGACTTAGGGCCGGGGATTTAGTTCAGTGGTTTTGCCCCCTGCCTCGCAAGCACAAGGACCTGAGTTTGATCCCCGGTACCAAATAAAAATAAAAATAAAAATAAAATATAAACTTAAAAATGCAACAATTTATGCCAGGTGTCCTCCACACATCTATAATCCCAGCACTTGGGAAGCTGAGGCAGGAGGATTGCAGCGACTTCAAGGCCCACCTGAATGACAGAGTGAGATCCTGTCTCAAAAAAACCAAAAAAGAAAAGAAATAATTTAAATTTAAATGAAATTGCAATCTAACATTAAACAAGGCTTATATTTTGTATGGATTTCTTTGTATGTTATTTTTCAATAATTTCTTTATGATTTTAGCCATTTTAAAGCATGTAGTTCAGCAGCACTAAGCACACTCACATTGTTGTACAGCTGTCACCATCATCCATCTTTGTGACTTCAACTTCTAAAACTGAAATTCGGTACCTGTTAAACATAAGCACTAATTCCCCTACTTCCAGCTCTCGGAACCACTGGTCTACCTTCTGTCTGGATGGATTTGACTACTCGAGGTACCTCACATGGGTGGAATCATAGAATATTTGTTCTTTTGTGACTTTCTTATTTCACTTACCAGAATATCTTCAAGGGTCATCTATGATGTAGCCTATGTGAGAATTTCTCTCCTCTTTGCTGGGGATTTAGCTCAGTGGTTCCACTACGTGCCTTGCAAGTGCAAGGTCCTGAGTTTGATCCCCGGTACCAAAAAAAAAAAAGAGAGAATTTCTCTTCTCTTTCAGGCTGAATTTTATATATACCACACTTTGCTTATCCATTCATTCGTCTGTCAGTGGACACTTGGGCTGCTTCTACCTTTTGGCTATTTTGAATAATCAACATCTGTGAGTCCTTGGTTGCTAATTCTTTGAGGTATATATAGCCAGAAGTTGAATTGTGAGGTGCTTGGTAATTCTGTCTAATTTCTTGAGGGACTGCCATACCATTTCCCACATCATTTTGTACCATTTGACATTCTCACCAGTGTGAACAAAGATCGCAGTGTCTACAAATTCTCACCAACACTTGTTCTTTTCTTCTTGTAACAGCCATCCTCATGGGTGGGAAATGGCATCTCACTGTGGCTGAGAGAGGCATTTCTCTATTTCAGATACAGTATTGAGTGTATTTTCATCTTTATGGCCATTCCAAGAATTCTTTCTATTGCATTTTATTAACATAGTTAGCTGTTCACGACAGATTTGTAATGAGATGGACAAGCAAACCAAAAAGCCAGGGTTTCAGCACAGACAGCCGGAAGGGCACTGTCTGCTGAGTGCTCTGTGGAAGTCAAGAGTGAGAAATTTGGATAATTTTCAGATCAGGAGGGAGAAGTATTGGCTAAGATCATTTAGAAGCAGTCAACAACTGCCCTGTAAAGGGGCCTCAGAGAGACCCATTTCACCACCATCCAGGCAGATGGACACCGGGCACAGTAGCAGTCATACCCCTTTGAGGCTACATTTAAATGTTAGAAGTTTGAGTTACTCACAGGGCCTGAAATTGCAGCTGCTGACCTTTCAGCAAATGCCAAAGTTCTTTCAGGGCCCAAATCAAAGTGGAAACTTATAGAGCAGCCATGGTGACAGCACAGGGGAAGGGAGAACAGCACTCCCCTTGAAGTTATTTCAGTAATGTTAATACATAGGTGACCACGAAACTATTTATGACCTGGCTGTGCTTGATGAAAGATGCTTACAGGTCTGGGTCTAAGTGAATCAGGACAAATGAAACCTTTGAACAATTAAAGTCTTGCTATTCAAACAGGGGCCTCCACTTGAAGACCAAGATCTGGAAACGGAACTCTAGGGTATAACAGGGCCACCATGCTTTGTGGGGAAAACTCTCCTAATGTGCTTTCCATGCACCCTGTCCTGGAGCGTGCACTTTCACCAAACCTCAGCATTCCTGCATGGGGGGTGCCAGACATCCTGGGGTACCTGCTCAGTCTGTGATCCTGATCTTGGAAAAAAGAACACCCTGTTTTTAAGAGGAATATTCAAGGCCACATTTATCTTTTTTTTGAGGCAGTGTCTCTCCCTTTGTGGTTCAGGCTGGCCTTGAACTCAGGATGTAGCCCAGGCTGGCCTTGAACTCACGGTGATCCTCCTGCCTCAGCCTCCTGAGTGTTGGGATTACAGGAGTGTATCACCACGCCTGGCTAGGCCACATTTATCTTATGTGACTCTGGTCTCTGGCTGTTACTGATCGGGCCAGAGGAACACACTTGACACAGCTGAGCACGACAGAGTTTTTTCTCCAGGCACTCATGAGTGAGACAGAGACCAAAACACCAGTGAACTAGATGACAGCACCAGAACTAAGAGGGATGGGTCCTTTGGGACAGGGAAGCAATGAATACTGGGTTTCATAAGATCTCCCTGCATTACTCTAGCAAATTACAGTGGACCTTTGAGTTATGACTGGCCTGACATACGAACAACTTGGGTTATGACCAGAATTTTAGTTTTAATTTGTGAATAAAGTCTTGGGTTATGATCCCAATGCCAGATGCTTGTGCTTCCAGATGGTCTCAGATACAGGCTTAACCCTGTAATGTTCTGGAAGGAATATTGCAACATTCTTTCCTGTGTGGGATTGAGAAATCCTGGGATATCATCTCTCTAAGGACACTGAGATCTGTCTGGAAGAAAGTGTGGCCTAAAACTATACAGGAGAGACTTTGAAGGCAATTGACCAACTTGAGTTACAACCGTTCCCTGGGAACGAATTGAGTTCGTAAGTCAAGGGTCCACTGTACCTTTCTGATTTAGCCAGAATGAGTGGGGTTTTGTTACTTACAGTGAAAATGGCCTTGAGTACAACAGACGTTATAATCAACAACATTATGTTATTATGATTATAAAATTTCAAAGGAGGGGCTGGGGATTTAGCTCAGTGGTTCTGGTGCCTGCTGTGCAAGCACAAGGTCCTGAGTTCAATCCCAGGTACCAAAAAAAAAAAAATTTCAAAGGAAGAAATTGAGACTCAGAGAAGTTAAAAAAATACACATATCACCAAGCTCAGTCCTTATCATGCAGCCTAAGTGTGTGTGTGTTACTACAATAACAAGTCCCAAGCCCTGGTAGCTTACTCAAACAAAGATTGATTTCTCCTTCACATTATAGCTTGGTGGCTCAAGCATCCAGGCCGCTTCTGTGTTTTGACATTGTCATTAGAATGCACAGCTTTGGAGGTGGCAAAGAAGGGAAGAGAGAGGACAACCAGTTGTGGACTGATGGTCAACCTAGAAGTAGTACGTACCAACTCCACTGGCCCAAACACAGTCATATGGCCCTCACCTAAATGCAAGGGTGGCTGGAACATGTGGGCTTCATGGAGGTCCAGGAAGAGATGAGTTGGCGAGCAGGTGACTTCTCTCACCTGGGCTAACACAGCCAATAAAGGGCAGAAGTGAGGCCTTGACCTTGGCTTAGGCCAACCGCAGCATAAACCATCTCAGTCAGTTGCAGTAGCCACATTGCCTTTCCTGCAGCCCACCAGGACTCTCAGCAGAGTCCCATTTCACCACCATCTCTGCCCTCCTCCTCCCTAGCTTGTGGAGTCGTGGGAGCCCTGGCATCCCAGTACTTTAGGGAAACCAAAAGCAGCATCTTGATGAAAGAGCAGAGCCACTTTGAGTTGAATCCTTCAGATTTCCAGAATGGTACAGTCAGGAGCCTGGGTGTGACAGCACCTATTTGATGAACATGGATGTGTGAAGGAAGAGTGTCTGCTAGATCTGTTGCATGGGGAGGGGCCCTGAATTGTACTCCTTGGGGTACATGATTAGAAGATGTGTCCTAGAGCTGCCACCAATTAGGTGGTTTAAAACAAAGAGAAATATATTATCTTACCATTCTGGAAACTAGAAGCCCAGATCAAGGAGGTAACAAGGCACGGAGGCTCTAGAAGGAGATATTTCTTTACCTCTTCCAGCTTCTGGTGATCTCCCTCAGTTGCCTTGGCTTGTGGCCACTCCGACCTCTGCCTCCATCTTTACATTGCCTTCTCCTCTGCGTGTCTCTCTCTTTTTTTTTTTTTGGTACTGGGGATCGAACTTGGGTCCTTGAGCTTGTGCAGCAGACAGTGAAACCACTGAGCTAAATCCCTGGCCCTGTGTGTCTCTTTTGAGGTCACTTCTTTTTTTTTTTTGCTTAAATTCTTTTATTGGTACATTTTAGGTATACATTTACATTTATCATTGGGTATTTGTACCTGTACATGATGTATCTTTGTTCTTATTTCTTCCCCATTCCCTGTGCTCCCTTCACCCCCTCCACCCTTCCCTATTTACAAAGACTTTGTTTCCATTTTTTCCTTTTCTCATAATTTTTCCTTTCCCCTATCCCTCCAACTTCCCCTTCCCCTTTGGACCTTTTCTTCCTATTTTAAATTATCAATTATTCATTTTAATCCTTATTTACACTTTCAGTTTCTCACACTAAAGAAACTATTCGGTATTTATACATGTATGTCCTATTTATTTCACTCAAGAGGATGGCCTTAATGTGCATCCATTTAGCTATAAATGTCTCTAGTTTCTCATTCTTTATGGCTGAGTAGTACTCCATTTTATAAAAAGCCGCATCTTCTTTATCCAGTTTCCAGTTGATGGGCACTTAACTTAGGTTGTTTCCAAACCTTAGCTATTACAAACTGTGCCGCTATAAACATGGGCACACATATATCACTGTGGTATGATTCTTTTAATTCTGTGGGGAAGATACCCAGCAGGGGAATGTCTGAGTCACATGGGACCTCTAGCCCTAGTTCTTTGAGGTATCTCCATACTGATTTCCACAGTGGTTGCACCAGTCTGCACTCCCACCAACAATGGAGAAGGGTTCCTTTCTCTCCACACCCCCACCAGCATTTGTTATTGGTTGATTTCTTGATAGCAGCCATTCTTTGTGGGGTGAGGTGGAATCTCAGTGTTGTTTTCATCTGCATCTCTTGAATGTTGAGGTCACTTCTTGAATTTAAGAACCACATAGTAATCTAGGATGATCTCATCTCGAAATTCTTAATTTAATTACATCTGCAAAGAATAAGGTCACATTCAAAGGTCCCAGACATTTGGACATGGGCATGTGTTTGGGGCTACCATTTAACCACAGGCATCTTGAAATTATTCCCAATTCTGAAGTTGGGGAATAGGCCACAGTCATGCTGGGGGCTTTGGTAACCAATGGTGCTCCTGTTTCCCTATCCCACCCTAGTCTGGATGCTGTTCTGTCAAATGCCCTATGGCATAAGCTGTGTCTAACCTGCTGTGGGCTTGAGTCACACCAGAAGGATGTTTCTTAGCTTCTGGTGATGGATACAAGGCAGCAAGTGCACTATTGTGGAGAAATGCCTCTCTGCTAATTTGCTTTAACACACTTAGAATTTAGGCTGAAGGCCAAGTATGGCCTTAACTTGGAAGGTGAGTGTGCTATGGCCACAAAAGCTCTATGAGCAAAGATCAGGCTTGTGGTTGGGATAGGGAAGAAATGGGGTCTCTACAAATCCTGCTAATATTGAGGAAGTCAATAGAAAATTGCTAGTACCCAAATATGTGTGTGACTAGAAAGGGAGGTTTCCCTTTGTTAAAAGAACATTATATGTCTGATTAGGAGTAGAAAAGGTCTCCAGTATGACAGGGAGCCTGAGTTTTTGTGCATCCCTACATGATACTCACTGGATGCGATCCCTTTACCCTCATCTGTCCAAGGGCAGCATCCAAGAATCTCCAAGGTCAAATCCAACTCTGAGAGTCTAAGAATCATCAGAGTGAATCAGTTTGTGCTGCCATTTCTGTAGATCTATGACTATCTTTCTCAGAGCAGGATGCAGAGAGGCCTTGGATGTATCCACAGTAGAATGCAAATAAGCATCACCTGAGAATCTTCCATTAAATGAGGCAGATCTCAGTCAAAAGACATCATATAGAACATACAAACAGAAGCAGAGGAAATGGGTCTTTTGTTATTTTGCTTGTTTCATCATGGTCCAAGTTTAGGGGATTGTTATTCCCACCCTGTGGGTTTTTGTTTTGTTTTTTTTTTTTTGTTTTTTTGGTACCAGGGATCGAACTCAGGACCTCACACTTACCAGATAGGTGCTGTGCCGCTGAGCCAAATCCCTGGCCCACCCACCCTGTGTTTGTCTCAACCATAGGAAGAAGCTCCCAGACTGTGTTTCCTTTTATGCTTTGAGAACCAGAAACCACCTGAGCCACAAGAAAGTTACAAATCAAAAGAGTTTTGTGAGTCAGGGACTTTCTTGGGAAAGTCAGCCATGGCTGGCATGTGGAGTGGGGTTTGGCTTCAGCCAGGGGACAAAGCAACTCCAACACTTAGGATCCAGCTGTTCATGGAGTTTGTTGGGAGTGTTTGGAAAGAAAGGAACAGGATTTACATGGACACCTATTTTAAGTTCACAAGTAAAGATGTACATTTGGTTTACACACATTTTTTTTTTTTTAGGTACCGGGGATCGAACTTGGGCCCTTGTGCTTTCAAGGCAGGCGGCAGAACCACTGAGCTAAATCTCTGGCCCCCTCACACGCATTTATAAATGTAGAGCTCAAGAAAGGCCACAGGTGTTACTTAACATTTGATAAAACTTGCCATAATCTTGAACTTCTGGTCTAGAAAGAACCAAAATTAGCTAAGAAGTAAAGTGTTTATAGAGGGAACTTAGGGAGAAACATACTTCCTTGCCACATATTGTATTTTCTTAAATCTGATTTTCATAATGAGTCATTTCCCTTGTGGTAATGAGACCCCAGGACATGTTAGACTTTATTAGTTCAATAATGTTCTGTGCTTTTGCAGAAAAATTACTATCACATCGTAATGTAAACTTTCATTTGTGACTCAGATAATTATAGCTATGGTTGGGAAGCCAAACCATACACAGCTATCACATTAACTAAGTAATGCTTCCATCCCTAGGGGGGCATTTACAGCCTTATTATCTGAATGGGACAACATGTAGGAGAAGTTGAGTTTAGTGGCCAGAATCCACTGGCCACTGTTCTGTGTTTTGGCTGGGTTCAAATCTCAGCTCTGCCACTCATTGGCTAATGGTCAGTTCTTCATTTCATCACCTTTAAAATGGATTACTGATAGTACTCAGTTCATAAGGTCGTTGTGAAGATTAAATGAGTTATCTAACACTAGATAATGATGAATTGTTACCATCATCATTATTATTTGATACAAAGCAATGAATACTTCTTTAAAATGGAAGAATGTGTTTATTTCTCCTCCCTCCACTCAAAATATATTTTTCTCACCAGTGGCGTTATTGAGATAACACTTGGGTCAGGTAGCACCAAGCATTACAGAGCATTAAATGGTGAAAGTATCCATGCATTTCATGTCTGCTGGCTAGGCACATACAATGCACAATCGGAATGCGGTAGTGCTGTGTGAGGCAACTCTTTGGGGTGAGGGCAAGACCAGTTCTTCATTTGGCAGAGTGCTTCTTATATACTTCCAGGAATTCCCTCACATCATCAGGGGACCCCAGGATGACTGGTGCTCGCTGGTGGATATCAGTGGGAACGATGTCTAGTACCGCTTCCTTCCCCGTAGTGGCCAGTCCTCCTGCCTTCTCCATGACGAAGGCCATTGGGTTACATTCATACAGTAGTCTCAACTGGAAAACAAGACCCAAGACCAGCATCCTCAAATGAGAAGGTGTTACAAAGACAGGGATCTTGTTCTATGCAAAACACTGCAAAACTGGTGGGAATTTCCAAGGTAGCCAATCTTCTCTTTTTCCTTCGAGGAGATTACAGAAGTTCCCTACCACTCCAGGCTGTGTCTGAGACAAATGATTAACCATTTGGTTAAATTAAAACTCTTCACTAAGCCAGAGCTAGCAATAGAGTACCTGATTTGAACGTGAGTCAGACCACCTGGATCCAGGACAGAATGACATTTTGGCAGTATTGACGGTTCCCTTCTCTTTATAGCACAGAAATTGAACTTAATGAGTGATTCTGTATGTGTTTTGGATGGAGCTTTGCCTATTCTAAAAGCATTTTTAAAAAATGCACAGTAGTGTCTGGGCTGCAGACATCTGGAAAGCAGACTGGCTCCTCCAAACAGTGTAATATTGTTTGCAACTCTGTGTGCATTCCTTTTACAATTCTCCTAAGGCCCTGGGGTTGGGATTTAGTGTATTATACATCTTGGCATTTGCTTTTAAATATTAACTTTTTGTCATATGCATTTTCATGCAGTCTGCCTACTGAGCAGACAGCTTTGTGCAGGTGTTTCCTGACTCTATTTCCTTATAGGTGTCAGTGCCAGATTTGAAAAACTGAAAAAAATAGGAGGTGCCTCAACATTTGTGTTAAGGTACAATTTTTTGAGGCATTAAAGAAAAGTGCTGAAATCAGGCTAATCAAATAGGTTGGATACATGAAGTGGCTACAGCAAGACTGATGCCTTCCTTATGTTTAGAAGGATGCCTTCAGTGAAATGGACTCAGTATGTCCAAAATACATCAATTTCTATCTTTAGGGGATTGTTGTTCTTATTCCTTCTCTTACTGTTATGGCTTACATCTACACAGCCCATGGACTCATAGGTGGGGCTTTGGGAGGTGACTAGATCCTGGGTGTGTGACACTGGGTCATGGGTGTGTGATACCAGATCAGTCCACTGATTGATTCAGCACAGTTCTGAGTGTGAGTGACAGACTTACTGAAGAGGGAAGACCCGTCCTGGGTGTGAGTGACACCAACAAATAGGCTTGTAGCCTGGATGGAATATAAAAGGAAAAGAAGAAAGAAGATGCTGCTTCTTGCCTGCCCCGCCATGGACTGTTTCTCCTCTGTGATGCCCCTCTGCCATGCTGCCCTACCTTGGAGCCAAATGACTATGGACTGAAACATCTACAACCTGTGAGCTGAAATAAACCTTTCTTCCAGGGCCGGGGATTTAGCTCAGTGGTTTCACCACCTGCTGAGCAAGCACAAGGACCTGAGTTTGATTCCCAGCACCAAAAAAACAAAACAAACAAACAAACAAAAACCTTTCTTCCTTTAAGTTGTGGGTGTTGGGTATTTTGTCCCAGCAATGAAAAAGTAACTAAGAACATTTAAAAAATAGGCAATCTATCAATTGGAAAAATAAAGCAGACATAATGGTCACCTGGCATAGAAGAAAAGGGTGTCCCTTAGCCAGCAAAAGAAAGCACAGTCCACCTTGTGGCATGCTGGGAACACCACTGGTGCTGGGGCAGCAGAGTCTGTGGGAACAGCTTACCTGAAAGCTCCAGGTGTCCTAGGATTCTGTCTTCCCTTAAAAGGTATCATTTTCCAAGTAGCAAATGTCAGACTCATTAGTTATTTCTACTTTAGGTCTTTTGAAAGCAATCAAAGAAGATCTCTCTTGGCAACACATATTTGATGTGCTGTCTTGGTAATGAGACTGGACTATTTTATTGCACTTTATGAATGGAACTCATTTTGTTCAAGCCAAACCACATACCCAGTGGAAGCTCTAAGTACTTTCAGTCTCCTCCTGACCATAACTCCATTAATTCTCTTTTGCCATAGCATTGGAAGGTCTCTCAAGAGAACATTTTCATGTTTACTTGATATGGCCTGGCTTTATCTTGAACCTAGAAAGGAATATGCCACAGATATCCCAAGAAACCAGCTGGACTGCATAACAGATGTCATAACCTTTTTTTCTTCCTAATGAACTCAAATTCCCCAGGCTGAAAATGAAATCCACTCCATCTCAGTCACTTTTCAGGGGATGTGCTTACCTTCCCCCTGGGGCTTTTCTTGTTAGCAGGGTATAAAAAGATCCCTCCGTAGACCAGAGTGCGGTGCACATCTGCCACCATGGAGCCCACATACCGGGCGCCATAGGGAGCTGAATTATCCTACAAGGTTACAAACAGCATTATAAAGGTTGCAGAACATAAAGAACGTTCTCTTCATGCCTTATGCTAATTTAATTCCACAATCATTTATTGAGCACCAATAAGGTGTGTGTTTGGAATTGTAATAAGAAATATAATGAAAATACTGTTCCTAAGAAGCAGAAAATAGAAAATGGAGAGTTCCTGCTACCCATCTCGCAATAGGTCAAATGACTGGCAGAGGCTCCAGAGAGGGTGTGGTTGTGGCTATAGGGTAGGAGCAGGCATCACAAAAATTGTAACATTTAGCAGGACTTGAAGGTTGAAAAAGGATGTTACTAAACTAAGGAGCTGGGCAGGAATGAAGAGGAATCTTTCCAAGCAAAGATTTAGCCACACAGAAAGGGCAATGCTGTTGACACAGGGACTACAGGAATACATATGTGCCGGGGTTGGGATGGGAGAGCAACAAGGGCAAAGAGAAAAGAGAAGCAGTTAAGCTAGAGAGACATTCCAGGGCCAGCTCTGAGGGCCCTCAGTGCCATGCTAATGACATGTGGGCTTCATCCTCAGAAAACATCAGCCATTGATGGCTTTTAAGCAAGGATATAACAAAATTAGATATTTCTCCAGTTAGTCACTTCTCTTCGTATTCATGAATTTGTAATCTCTTTAGAGAGATACAGAGAAGGACACTCTCCACTTTCAGACAGCTGATAGAAATTCATCACAGAGGTAGGCCTGGAGGAACAGATACAACATGGCAGGAGGTCCCAGGGTGGGAGCACCACATTTTGTACTATCAGGGATCAAGGACCCCAAAAGTGGAAATGTCTATTGCCATGAACTCATTCATCCGGTTAACTTTATTATCTTAATTTTCTTTTGCCAAGAGAAAATGGCAAGGACTGAAATAACACTACCATTTTGATATCTCAGGGCAAGAATTCTAGTCCCTGGTTCCTAGATGAGAACTTAATCACAGGCTCAGGGCAGACTGAAATCCAGTTCACTTCTACCTTCTACCTCTTTTCACCTCTAGGATAAATCATGATCAATAGATACACAACCTGAATCCCAGATGAAGTCCAGGGCCCTTCTCAATCCCAGTGGTCCCTTTTCTTCTCTGGGGATACCCATTCCCCAGAGCTGCCCCTGGTGCCAAATGCCTGGAAAGTGACACTGTCCCACCCCATCCCCCGTCCCCTCGCTTACTGAAGGAAACTTCTTTCTCTGGATGTACTCGGTGATGGCAGGGTCAAAGTCCTTGGCGTAGCCTTCATTGAGGCTGTAGATTTTACCTTTCTTTTTGATCTTCACATTCTTGTCCACCAAAATGAACTCCCCAATAGCCTTTGAAACAAGGAAAGAAAGGCAGATAACAATGGGCTGGCTGGGGTGGGCTGAAGTAGGAGACACAAGGGCTGTGGTCACCTCATCCTGGGACATCAGTGACTCCTGCAAAACACTCCAAGTATTGTGAACAGTGTGTGGGAAGAAAGAATGGTCAGAATGAGTATAACGGCAATTGGGCAAGAAGGAGCAAGTAAGTGGATGTTGCTAAAATCAATGGACAGGCAAAGAAGACTTTTGACTGAGTTTGCAAATGACTTCAGCTAAACAAGAAAGGAACCATACAGACATAGAAAGGCCAGAAATGTGTGAAGCAACAGCAAAAATCAAAGCAAGAATAATAATTATGTGTTCAAATCAATAGAAGATATGTGTGCATTTATACACATACAACTTGGTGCGGCTGGGAGGTGGGATGTTGGGAGTCAGGTGACTGTAGAATCACAGTCCTCTACTTGACTTTACAGTTCAATCTTGATGAAAACTGTTCCTTTTGAGTGTTTTGTGTGTTCACAATGTGGAACTCTGAGTTTTGAGCCCGAGCTTCTAGCACTTCAAACACCTTGCCTCGTTGATGCACAAAGTTTGGCTCAGAACACCACCTCCCACACAGCCCAGCACTGAGCTTACTTATGCCTTTTGAGTTTTAGTACTTTATAGGAAACTTATTTGCATGATTGAGGCTTTGATCCTTTGGGAGGGAGGGCTTGATTGAGATAGGAGTTAAGAAGACAGGACCAGGCATTTATTTCTCATAACAGAGATTGCTTATTAAAGATATGAATTATGTTGAAAATAGAAAGAAAGAAAGAAGAAGGAGAGAGGGATAAAGAGAAAACTAGAATTAACAGTGGTCACTGAAGGGTATCATTGTGATTTTTACCTTACGCCTTTTTTTGTATTTCCAAAAATGTTGTCAACAAATCTATAGTAATATTCTTTTATAATCAGCAAAATGAAATAAATGCCTTCCCAAGAACACCAGGTACTGTGTGCAGAGCTCAGGAGGCCCTTTGTTCCAGGCACCCTCTCCTAGAGCCCAGATTAAGTCAGAGTGTGCAGGAGGGGCGTCTCCTCTGATGGCAACAAGAGGCATAAAACCACGATGAAGGCGCATTTCTCCAGCTTTAAACACGTGCAGTTCTACCGTGGTGGTTTTAGCAGAAACCATCAGCCTGACCTTGGAGCAAGCCAAAAGGGAGAAGAAGCACTTAATGCCTAGCATCTCCTTGGTAGGAGGCTCCCCCTCCTCCAACACCAGTGAGCAGAAGAGCTGAGATCCAGAGCAGGGGAGTATTACAGCATCCTCTATTGTTCTTTCAAACATTCAGATCTGAAGAGGGATAAAGACTATCAAATGCACAAAAACTCACTCTTGGAGACACCCAGCTGCAAACTGTAAACAAGGAGAGATTTGATTCTTTTTCTACATGTCTATCATTCAGAGGTCACAGAGGAGGCACTAGGAGATTATCTGGGGAAGCTGCCAATGTCTGGCCAGGAGAAATATCAGGAGAGACATAGCCCTGACTTCAGAAGCTATGTTCTGGGCTCAGACTGAACTTTACTCGGGTTCTGCTGCTGTTTTCCTCTGAAGTTACCTCATTCAGAGACTTTAACTATCGCTATTACCCCGCCCTTGTTTACTGGAGTTCTCATGTTTCCAAGGAGGTGAAAGTCCAGTTCAGTGAAGAGTGCCCGAATCAAAAGTAGCCTGTGTTCTGATTTACACCATCTGCCATGCACGCTGCCTGCAGGCTCCCCAACAACCTGCTTCTCACAGAAGTTTCCAGGTTGCAGTTTGTACTTGGTGTTCACTTAAAAAATTTGCATAAAGTGTTTCATTAGCATCATATGAAGACATTTATACAATAAAAGGAATTTAGAAATCCAATTCTTTTCCCCTTGGCACCCTGGACTACATGCATAAAGAATGTACCAGTATGTTAACGGTGATTCTTTTGAGGATGTGTTTCAGTGTGCCTTTAGTTGCACCAAATATTTAAGGAGATTTGTTTCCCTAATTTACCTGCTCTGTTGAAACTTTCATCTAACGGAATAAATAAATAATGGACAGATTTAGTGGACGTGTAAAAAAACTGTCAATGAACATCTTTTTTTTTTTCTTTTTTTTGGTGCTGGGGATTGAACTCAGGACCTTGTGCTTGTGAGGCAGGTGTGATGCCACTGAGCTAAATCCCTGACCTCAGTGTGCATCTATTTTTTAAAAATTAATTTTATTGGTACATTTAAGGTATACAATATACTGACATTCATCATTCAATGAGCATCTATTAATGGCACCATGGACTTCTCTCTGGAAGGGCACTTTTCTCTATAAGGTACACTAAAGAATTATCTTCATTCCCTTCTTTCTTTCTTTCTCTTTTTTTTTTTTTTGGTACCAGGGATGGAACTTGGGACCTTGCGCAGCAGGCGCCACCGGAACCACTGAGCTAAATCTTCATTCCCTTCTTTATTTTCATTTCCTTTGAGTTCATCAAAGCCTTATCAAAACCACAAGGGTTGCTGGGGATTTAGCTTAGAGGTTTCGCCGCGTGCTGCACAAGCACAAGGACCCGAGTTCGATCCCCGGTATCAAAAAAACCCCAAAACCACAAAGGTTAACTGCAGGTTTTTGTACATACACACAGAGCAAAATCAATTTGGTAGCTTTTTTATTTTTTGGTACTGGGGATCGAACTCTGGACCTTGTATTTGCGAGGCAGGCGGTGGAACCACTGAGCTAAACCCCTGATCTGGTAGCTATTTTTGAAGAATCAGTGATATGCACCACTTCAGCTGGGCACCCGTTCACCTCAGGGAAACAGCCTTCTGGTGCTAAGACAGAAAGGCTAGGAATGGATCTAGTGGGTGGCAAACAGACCAACTACAGGCCCCTTCTGGCACATAAATGTGAGTCAGCCAGCAGTGTTTTTTACTTCTTTTTTTAATCCTGTGTTTCTTGAAACATTGGGAGCCCTTGAAAGACTGGGCCTCTATTCCCAAGTAGGAAAAACTGCTGTGCTCCTCTGGTTCACCCTGCCCTGCCAGAGCCTCTGGCCCTCCTTCCCCAGCACACTTCACCCATTTATATGGTCTGCCAGTGCACATGGGCATTGGAGTCATTTGGAATAATGACTGTTTTAAAAATTCATCTTGGAGAAAGGACTCTTCTGCTCCGCACAGACATCATTTCTTACTTCTATGTTCTTCTCATCTTGCTCTCTCTCCCTCCCCCTCTCACCCACCTCCATCTCTCCATGGGCCTCATTTCCTACCACTACCTACTTCTGCTCACACATGCACACACACACACAACTCATAGCTGCCAGCCACACACTGGCACCCTACAAGAGTGCTCACCGGGTCCAGCATGAAGCAGTTGACACCACTCTCCAGGGCGAGAACCAACATGGTGGCGCTGCCGTAGAGGGCGTAGCCAGCTGCCACCAGGTCCCGGCCTGGCTGCAGTGCGTCCTTCTCGGAAGGCTCCTCAGTAGATTGCTAGAGCAAGCAGGAGAGAGAAAAAAATGTTTCTGTTTTGTTTTGTGGCCCTTTTCTGTTAGCCATAAGCAGGATGCACTGTCAAGGTGTTCTTTTAATGAAACAGGGCCTCTTCCCAGCGGGCCTTCCTCCACACATCAGTAACAACCTGATTATATTACCACAGCAGCCTTCCCACCAGACCCCGAATTTCCTGCATCTGGATCCTTCTTTCCAATGAGGGCCCTTCTCCCATTTTTCTAATTTGATATTCCCTCATCTCTCCATTATCACTTCCAAAAAATAGCATGCCTTCTTGCCAGTTCTCACTAATTTAATCTGATTATGGGAATCAATGTCTTTCACCTGCCTACTCCATCTTTATTTAAGCAAATTAATGTGGGCTGCAGGGCAGTGAGTCTGGTGAGGAAATCGATTTCATGAGTTCTTGCCAATCGCAGCACAAACCCCACTGAGCAGTGTGGTCATATCACTCTCACATTAGAGAAATTCTCAGAAATATGGGTATTTGGGATATTACCCAGAAGTCATTACAGGGTATAACAGATGGTGTCTAATTTTTTTTAACCATGACCCACAGTAAGAAACACATTTTAAAGCTGATTTCATACAAGTTGAAAGTAAAATGGTTTCCAGAAGGCAGGGGGATGGGGAGGGCGAGATGGGCAAAGGTTGGGCAATGAGTCCTAAGTCACTTTAGATAAAAGCAACAAGTTCTGGTGTTCTATGGCACAGCAGGTGGATTGTAAATGACAGTAATGCACTGCATATTTCAAAAAAGCCAGAGAAAGGATTTTAAATGTTCTCACTACAAAAAAATGATAAATCTTTGAGGAGAAAGATTGCATACCCTGATTTGAACAGTACACATTATACTGTTGCAACTTGATCTTAGCCAAAAGGCTGAGAAGCGATAACTGTACACATTGTATGCATGTATCAAAACATCACATGGTACCCCATACATATATACAACTATTATGCCAATTTAACAAGAAAGAAAACATCTACTACCTCACAAACCAGTAGAAATCCATATGCATATGTGCATACACCCCAAAATGTAACTAAACCACACCTACACTTAGGAAATCCTCCAGTCTTTATTATTAAAATTAAAACATTATCATCCAAATTAAAACATAACCCTCTGAGTCACGTGACTCAGTTTGTCTGATCCTAGTAAAGGGAATACCTTAAGGAGGTGGCTTCTAATCAGTGATTTCTTATTGATAATGATCTTCTTTATTAACCCTTGATTGGTTTCTTCAGTCTTCAAAATGGCTCCAAACACATCTTGCAGTTTGAATGCTCTTTGCTTGATTTTAAACAGAAACTAAAATGGCCAATTTCCCCCAATTTCTTCTATTTCTTTCACAGTTGGAGATTCCAGAAACTATGAATATCTATATCATGAAGTGGGAGAAGGAGGTCACCCAGCAAAAATATTCCAGATCATTTCTCTCTATAACTTTTGAAAATGTGGCTCCTAGACAATCAGCATCAGAATCACCTGAGATATATTAGAAATGTAGCTGCACCCTACACTTCCTAAGTTAGACTTTCCATGATGGCTCCTGGGGATCTGGATTATATCAAGCACTATAGATGATGCTTGGACTAAAGTTTAAGAACTGCTCATATATAAGGGAGAATAAACAATTTTTTCTCTCCATTTTTCCCACTACTCCTACTCCTCATGGTTTTCATCTGGGTGACTAGTTGGTTAATTGGTTAAATTATATTATTTGATTTAGTTTGTTTGTATATACCAGATAGTGCAGTGTAACTGCACAGAGACTAAACACAGGATCCAAAAATTGAGTTGTTTTCCCTAAATGGCAAATTTTGAAAAAAAGAGACATTAGTAGCCTTTGTCAATATGGACCACCTGTCCAAGAGTCATCGAAGCCAGTGACATATTGAGAGGACGTGGAGGTAGCCTCTCCTCGCAGTCACTGAGTCTTCGAGGAACCAGATCTCCACCAAGTAGAGTATCACAGAGATTTGCCTTGCCCAGAACCATCCATGCCTGCCTGTGGCAAAGGCACAGAAGTAAACAGAAATACTGCCACCAAACACTGTTATACTTCCATGTCCTTGCATGCACTAAGGAACGCTAACCCTCACCTGCAATGACTTGAGACCTGCATCACACACATCGTCTCTTTTAGTCTTTTAGGAGAATCACTTCAGATTGACTGAGAAGACTGTCAGGTCTAATTGTGGAGTGGTTCTAGGATGCATTGTCCAAGCTAGTGTTGCAAGTTGGTTTGATTTTATTTTTTAGTTGATAGCCAGTGTCTCAATTTTCTAGGTAGTTTTTTTTCGTAAAAATATTTTATTTCAGGGGGTTGAAGTGTACATGGGGCGGGAAAACATCAGTGCTGCTTCAGTTTTGGTCATCATTAACCAGAGGTCTCTCTCCACAAGGAGGGGCCGTGCTGCAAATCTCTCTTGCTCCTCTACAGATTTGAAACTTTGGAGGGGAAATTACATCTCTCTGCGTCTGTCACAGGAATGGGATGCTTCTTGGCATGATTTGGAAGAGAAGTAAATCTCTCTATCTGCCTATCTGATATGATTCTATTACTGAACTGATTTTGATGTTTATCTGCCTGTCACTCAAGACAAAAGCAAAACACGTTCCTGTGACTGATGATAAGTGTCCCATTGGTTCTACCTGCTATATGTTTGAAAGGAAATTACACACAGTAGTAGACAACAAATCCCTTTTAGAAATAAAGTGTGAATTTAGTTCTTGCTTCTTTTTTGTTGTTGTTGGTTTTTTTTTTTTTTCTGGTACCAGGGATCGAACTCAGGACCTTGTGCTTGCAAGGCAGGCGTGGATTCTTGCTTCTTGTTATGGGCTCTGTATCCTAGCATAGAGTTCAGCTAAGCGAATCACTGCATCCAGGGGCTGAAATGGAGGCTCAGCTACAACCAACATCTGCAAGCCTTTATTCCCAACTAAACCAAGACCTGGCTGGGGGCTGGCTAAGTGGTAGAGCATTTGCCTAGTGTGCAGGAGGTCCTGGGCTCAGTGCCCAGCATTGCAAAAAATAAACAGGAGCTGAAACCAGGATTTTAGATTTTATGGCAGCTCTACAGGTATTCATTCCATTTTTCATTTGTCCATATACCTGAGTGTTCTCTCTCTCTCTCTCTCTCTCTCTCTCTCTCTCTCTCTCTCTCTCTCTCTCTCTCTCAGAAGGAACAGAGGCTCTTGGAGGTAGAGGAACTGCCAAAGTCACACAGTGGAAAGACACAGGGCAGGAGTCTGGGTTCTCACCTTACACCAGTGTGCTTTCTATGATTTAGAGCAGGGTTGGCAAATTTTTGCATAAATGGAAAAAGAGTAAACACTTTAGGTTGCCCAGGTCACACAGTCTCTATCATAACTACTCACCCCTGACAATGTAGCGAAAAATTAGCCAGAAGCAAGATGTCAACAAACAAGTATGACCACATGCAAGTAAAACATTATTTGTGATTGGTGAAAAAATAAATGGCATGGGCCAATATAATATTATTTTTTAGATTTTTTTCAACCATTTAAAAAATTAAAATTTAAAAATGTAATAGTCATACAAATGAGGCAGTGGATGGAAGTGACAGGAGGAGTGCAGGGCCTGTCAGAGTTGTCGACCCCTGATTTTGATGATTTAAAGAACAATTTTACATAAATAATCTCAAATGTCATACTCTCACAATTCTTAGTTTATATAACACAATTGCTTAATCTGCCCTATACTGTCTTAAAAAAACCTGTTTTCCATTATAAAATAAAGGAGATACAATTTAATAAAGGAAATATTCTTCTATTTCCACCCACATTTTCCTACTATATTTTCTTTTAATAACTTCATGTGTCATTACTGCACAGTTAAGGCTAGAAAAGTCAGACCTTGACAAACAAGTCTATTCCAGCCTCAGAGTTTTACACTGCACATCCTCGCTTCTTCTCCATTGTGAAAAGCCTGGGTCTCCTCTACTCCTTAACTTTTCTCTGGATCCAAAACCAGGTACTTGGTGTACATTTTACCTTTCTGTAGATGCCAAAAATGGTTCCAATGGATACAAGGCAGTCGATGTTGGAAGAGCCATCAAGGGGATCAAAACAGACCACATATTTACCCTGAGCAAAGAAAAAGAAATTCAATTTTAAAATATGGTAATGGGGTGGGGTAGAGGAAGCACCCATAAAAATGAGACTCTAGAGGGAATTTCAAGAAGCATGGGTCTTACCTATTTATACTTGGTTAGGGAAGACAAGCTATGAGAATATATAAGCCAAAAGATCAGTAGGCAAAGAAAATACCATATAGATTAGGAAGTATAGAGGAAAGTGAAAGAATACAGATAAGAATACAGACAATTTATATAGTTGAATCATAATTTTCATTTGAGTCCTGGAAACCAAAGGAAAAAGGGACATAAGGTTAGTCATTTGTTTCTCTTTATTTGTAAAGGGAGGAAAACTTCCGTGGGGTTCAGAGCAGTAAAAAAAAAAAAAGTCTCCTGCAGTTCTTCTAGCTGCCACATGAGGCTGCAGTGAGAGTTCTCATCAACATCTGAAGTGTGACTTACAAAGGAAATAGCCCTTGGCCTCAGTGGGACCGCCAAAGATTCATTCTTTGAATGGGATTGTCAGCGGTGTGCTGGAGCTGCCTGGTGTCTATCAGCTCTCAAGAGCTAACTGTGGGAATCTCTTCCAACTCTGCTTTCAATGCTTTCACTGGTAGCTTAAACTCATTCTATGAGTATTTACACCGTTGAATTTGGTATTATAAAGCTGATTTCTTTCTTTCTTCCTTCCTTCCTTCCTTCCTTCCTTCCTTCCTTCCTTCCTTCCTTTCTTTCTTTCTTTCTTTCTTTCTTTCTTTCTTTCTTTCTTTCTTTCTTTCTTTCTTTCGTTCTTTCTTTCTTTCTTTCGTTCTTTCTTTCTTTTGCCAGTTTACCAGCACATTGCAGGGAAATTTTCTATCTCCAAGTTAATCTCTTTAAATATGGTTTTAAAATGTTGTACACCGGATTATAATTCCCTGACCTGTTGCTCTCTAAAAATCCCCCTCAGTGATGCAAGAAAAGGTGTAAACTGGAAAATGGAAACCTGCCTACCATGAAGGCACACTGTGGTCAGAGAAGTTTGGGGTGACTGACAGAGAATGTTCAACATTGAATTCACTCCATGTGCCTAAAATTGCCAAGGACTATGAAAGGTCCAGCAAGGAAAACAAAACAAAACAAAACATGAACTTTTAATCTGACATGTAGTGCTAGCTATTTTAGGCATGATGCAAAACAAGTTAATAAGATGTGGCTCCCACACTCTTAATAAGGGCAAGACAGGCAGTCTCTTTAATATATCTTCTGGTTTCCTCTCAAAATCTACTCTTCCACATCCCCTTTTCATCTCAAACAGGGAACAGCAGTAAGCCCATATAACTGTACTTCTAAAAGTTACCTTTAATTGCAATTATTTTATCAAAGCTGTATATACCCTTTTATTCTAACAATCTTGCTGTTGTGAAGACCCTATACAGTGATGGTAAACCTTTGAGAGCTTTCAGTGATACAAACAGCCCGCTGTGGCACTCCTGCCATAGGTTCAGCACCACTGTCTGACACATTTATTCTCTCCCCTCAAGAAGCAATCAGACCAATAGGCATATAATAAATTCCAATGGTTGAAAAAAGTGATAAAAAGTGGAGCTGATTCAAACTGGTAGCAAGGTCGTGAGAAGATTCGAAATTCAGATGGAGAAGTAGCAGAAGAAGGAGTCTACAGAAGTGCCCTTGGACCTGGCAATGAGAATGTAGGAATGGGTGTCCATGGAGAGATGGTGATGGCCTGAACTATGGCACTGGAGGACAGATTTGAGATATGGTGGTAAGGGAGAATCAGCAAAAAGACCACAGGAGTGATTTAAGGTGATTCCTAGGAACCCAGCTTGGAAAAACAAGTGAAGTCATGTATGCAGCTAAGAGGGAAGATGGTTACATTCAAACCCTTCACAGTGGAAGTCCAGACCCACTCTTTTCTCAGGTTCTACAATGATGGCATGTTGGTCTTCTTCAGACACAAGGACACAGGTGGAGAAGGACGACTTTAGCATGTTCATAACCAGATCATTGGAGAGGACGTCCAGCTTCTTGACCTGATCTCCTGTCACATTAGTAGAGCCAGCGATGCCATAGCTAAAGGGAAGAGAACCACAAAAGTAAGCCATGGCCGCCAGAATATGTAGATATATCTATAAACCACTGAAAGAAAGCATTAGGAGGATTTAGAAAAAAGGAAAGAAGACACATGGTTTGGAAGAAACCATACAAGAAAGCAGCTGTCCTCTGGATCGGCTCCTAAAGAGAAAAAAGTACTATCACTCACTCCCATTGCCCATTACCTCTCATGGTACCACACAGTTCTGAGGCCACATCAGTTTCTCAACTCTTCTTTTTTCCATTATCGTACCCGTAAGGACCCTTTAAAAAGTATTTTTGCTTAACCATACTTCCCGCATGAAATGTTTATTACTGTATATATTCTGTGCTTTATCCAGGAAAAGTTGGAGATTTTTGTGTTTTTACTTTTGTCTACCAAGAAGCAACCCACAGATTAAATGAATCACTTGAGAGACACAGAGAATAAGGAAGCCTAGGTTGAAGTGAGCCTGAGATGTCAGCTAACTCAATGGATTCTGTGGGTTTATAACTGCAAAGATACTAAAGGAAAAGGAGCATTCACTGGTTTCATAACCTCATTTTACGGAGGAGGAAAGTCAGATTCTGAGATACTTCTGGGCTTCTCCAAATCACACAGGCAGAATGCAAGTAAGATGCTGCCTTGGACTCCCAGGCTGGGGGCTCTTGAGGTCCCCCACAGCCTCTGGAGGGAGTCCCAGGAGATGGAAGACATGGGGAGCCCAAAGTTTGTACGTTGTTTTTAAGCTACTTGTAATTTAGTCATTGTAGAGTTCCCAGACTCCAAGAGGCTGTCCAAAATCCAAAATGTAGGCTGCTTATCAGAATGAGAGGAGGGGTAGGTTGTCACAGCCTGAGGTTAAATAAAAATACAGAAGGGGGGTGCTATGTTTTATAGGATACAGGCACAGAACAATCTAAAAGGAAAAAGGAAAGGGGAAGGTTGAAGATGCCACTAAGAGGCTGAAAGTGGGTGATAAGGGAACAATCACACCCTTGGTGAGATCACTATGAGTGTTTTCCTGAGAACTGACCGTCACTGCTTCAGTGATTGTCATTCTTAACTCCTGAAAACACATTTTACCAATATATAACTTGCTTATGTCTACGTTGGTAAAATAGAACCCCCTTAGAAACTATCCAAACCCAAATGCCTGGTCCAGCCTGACTGTGTCTAAGGAAGTGACCCTAGTTGTCCCACCAAGTCCATTCATCCGTGTCAGCCACTTTTGACACCACCCCTTTCTTAGCCTAGAAAACAATGTCCCATCCCCCCACCTCCTGGCCTCTTCGTTTTTCACTCTGTCACTCTTAATTCACGAATATAAGAACAAGTCATCCATCAGACCTGTCAAAGTGGCCAGTGTCTCTGGGTTTTGGGTTCTCTTTCCACATTTTCTCTTTCTAACTCAATTGCGAAGCCAACCTTGGGGAAGGAAGAGGGCAGGCAAAGTCTAGGCATCTCAGAGAGGCCTGGCAGGGGCCACCAAGCAAAGTACATCTCCCTCACTGGTCTCACCAATGGTGGTTTTCTTTCCCTCTCAGCCTGCAATTTCCACCACTAAAATCACTATTGATTCAAAAGGGTGAACAACACTGATGGACAAGAACATGTGCATGAAGATAGAATCCAGGCACAGGCTCAGCTCTGCAAGTCTCCTGCCTTCTGCGAGCCTCCCTGCCTTCTTGCATGTGCCCAGAGAGGGAAACCATACCTGCCTTGTGGCACTGTCAGAAGAGTATGTGAGATCATGTACACGAAGGGTCAGTCTCAGCACAGCCCTTGGCTGCAGGCAGATGCAGGCTCAACTCATTTCCAGGGATTCCTGGGAAGCTGGGGAAGGGGGCTGAATGCACTAGGCAGATGGAGGGCACAAAAGGCAGGCCTGGTGCACTAGACTATTTTCATTACTGTAACAACACACCTGAGGCTGGGTACTTATAAAGAAAATAAGTTTATTTAGCTCACGGTTTGGGAGGCCAAAGTCCAAACAGCATAGCAATGGTTCTAGTGAGTGAAGGTCTCCTTGGCTGCATCACCTCATGCCAGTGGCACCACACTGACAGCAGTACATGAGTACAGAGAGTGGTCATATAGTGAGACAGGAAGGCAGGAAGAGGGTGACATGATAGTCTTGCCACCTCTTTCAGGTCTCACCCCCTTGCTAAGCCACCACACTGGGAACCAAGCTCCTAGGACATGGACCCTTGGGGAATGCAAATCATAGCCGAACCAGAGCACATGGGAAGGAAAGGCCTATTTCACAATTTGGGCCAAGTTCCATCTGCTCAGATATCATAGTTCCTTTTTCTTAGAAGCTTCCTAGAGGCCTATTCAAGTGTTCATTTATTCCACAGATATTCACTGGGGCCCTGTTGCTCTGGGTGTATAGCACTGAACAGGACAGGTGAGATCCCTGCCCTTGTGGAGCGTCTATCCTAGTGAGTCCAGACAAGAAACAAGTGTCTGAATGAATGAGGTAGTGGCAGAGAGGGGCAGATGTTCACTGTCCTAAAATAAAACAAAGAGACAAGGGGCAGGGTGGGTAATTAGTTAATTTCGATGGTCAAGGAAGGTCTCACTGTGAAGGAGGCATTCAAGCAAAATAGTATTTCAAATATTTTTCAGAAGAAAGGGAGTCTACAAAAAATCCCCAGACAAGGCCAAATAAACCACTCATCCAGTAGTGGCTTCAAAGAAGAGTTTCATGCTAATAATTCATCCAAACATCTAAGTTTGGTTTTCACAGCTTTCCATATGAAAGGGGGAAGGTACTATGTGCACATTTATAGGTGTAACTTTGAAACTTGAGATATTTTTCCAATGATGCCTGGATCCAGGGAGCACTTAAATTCAGGAGGAGATCGAGAGAAGAAAGCCCACAGAAGGTCTTTCTCACATAATGCCAGATCTGGTTAGCAGTACTCTGTGTCTAGTTTCACCAGCCAGAAGAAACAAGTTATCCTGTAACTGTGTCCCAGGCAAGGTTGCCACCATTTGTTTCTGCATTTCCTATATTTGTAGACTCAGCATTTGGCCAAATTGAAATGAGGTTCAAAGCAGCTTCCATAGCCCTAGATCTTGCCCTGGGCTGTGGAAGGTTACAGTCAGTGTCAGGAGAGGTGACTTGCCAAACCAAGACCACAACCCAGGTTTCCTCACTTCCACTCCAAGATTCTGAGAGAGCTCCTACCCTGATGTCACAGAGGGACCTACATGCAGAGAAACAAGGGTCCCAGAAGGTGGCACAACCTGTTTGTGATGGTCTAGTGTGGGGCATACCACACACTGCAGGGATGAGCAGTGCAGGGGATCCTCACCAAAGCCAGCACTGAAATCAACCACCAAACCATGGCAGGCAACCAGCCACTGCTCCAGCTCCTCCTGCCTTCAGGGTTTCCATTACTCCTTTGGTTGATGGCCAATGGGTTAAGCTGGTTTTTCCAGCTTTCTTCCAACTTCTCTTTACCCTCAGTTGGAGTCCTTCTCCTGTTCTAACAGGAGAGATCTTTCTAGAGATAAATTATTCTGAGCCCCTCAAAGTCATTCAGTGTAGAACTTTTCTAGAATAAGTGACTGAAGGGTCCCCTGCCCTGGGAGCCCTGACATTAAAGAATCCTTCAAGAGGGCCAGGGATTTAGCTCAGTGATTTTGCCACCTGCTGCGCAAGCGCAAGGACCCAAGTTGGATCCCTGGTACCAAAAAAAAAAAAAAAGAGTCCTTCAAGAAAGAGCACACACACACACACAAATGATTTGAAGGTAGAAACAAGGTTCAGGAGAACAAATTTCCAGACCACCAGCCAAGAATGCTACCAAGTTGGTAAGAAATATTTGGATATTCTTTGACTTACATTTCAGTACACAAAGTTAGCTGGGCTCTGTATTTCTCAAGCTGTGCTGGAATTTTCTGACCAGGAATCATGGCCACGATGGCAAACAGTTATAGGTAGTTTCTTCCCACATGCCCCGGAGGGACCCTCAGAAGGCAAGAACTCTCTGAGGTAAGACTGCATGGGCCCATCAAAAATCAGAAGCAGGCAAGGCTTTTGTGACTTTGACATAGGAAGAAAAGCATTAGAAAAAAATCCTCATGGCACTAACTCCCTGAGGAGCAAATAGTTTGTTTTCTTTGTAAGTTTTTAGAAACTTACTGATCTGGCTGATCAGTCATGGTTATGGTTTGTGTGTAGATGTCCCCGCAAAGCCTCATGCAGATGGGGTGGGACTTCGTTTTTCAGAGGTAGTTGAATCTGGAATGTGTGATGCGGGGTTAAGGGCATGTGGTTACTAAACCACTACATAAGAGTGATTAGTTTGGCACCGCCCTAATCCTGGTAGTCTGAACAAGATAAAAGGGGCAGAAAGATGCCGTTAAACTCCCTTTTGCCTTTGCTACCTTTTGTGCGCCATGTTGTTTCTCCTCTGTGATGCTTATTTGCCATCCCAGGCTTGGAGCCAGATGATTATGGACTGAAACCTCTACAAACTGTAAGCCAAATAAACCCCTACCCTTTAGCTTTTGGATGCTGGGTATTTTATCTCAGCAGCGAGAGAAAAGTAACTAACACAGTCACATTCCACAAAGGCTCCGCAGGATAGATTAACAAGGCCTCCACTCTATGTTCTGATGAGCACACGGAGAGTGTGGTGGACTGCAGGACCAAGAGCAGGTAGGGGCCTTGGCTCCCACCTGGTGAGAACTCTAGGCCTCTGCTCAACCCACTGAACCAGGGCTATGAGAATGAATTGACTGTGTCCCCCACATGGATGCTCTGGGCAGACTGGTCCCCGCGTCCTGTCCTAGTTTGGAAAGGGGCCTCCATGCCAGTGGTTGTGATGGGAATGGGTGGCACCAACTGCTCCAGATGGGACAAATCCTCCAGATCAGTTCCCTGGGGCCAGAATATGACAGTGAATGAGGCTGCAGGGGTTTGGAGGAAGCATCCTAAAACCCTGAACAAAAAAGCTTTCCCTGGGGTCAACTGTGCCTCTCA